TGATATTTACGTTTATACGGAGACGAATATATCCAGTCTATCCATTTTGCGATGATTATTTTTGCAGTATTGCGATATCCGAGTAATTTTGCTATTTTGCGGGACATTGATTTTCGCAAAAAGTGTGACTGTTGCCGAGAGATACGCCTTTTATTCTAAATTCAATCTATAATAAAATCTCTCATATATATGTATTGAGAAATTCTATTGTATTTGTTAATAGGAACCAAATTATTTCCGCAATTTTTTTATATTTTAAATATACTTACGTCAGTTTAACATAATTATGTAGGCATTTCTTATATTATCAACAAATTTAATAAGCTTAATTTTTAGGCTAAATTATATTAATTTTAAACTTGAAATTATATATAATGATATTATTGGTAGCAAATAGATTGACAGAGATGCATTAGGAGATCGATGAGTCGTGCCGGCGTATAATTGCATTCACTGTCTATTATCGTTTCGATTCAAAGAGACTTGTCAAGGATTTCCGTAAAAATCCAATCACTTGAGGAAATGAGTGCACGATATAATTTCGATACCGGGTAAAACCCACAGTGAGTTTTTTGTATTTGATGGAATACGTTTCATAGTCCAAGATCAAGCACAGGAATTGCGGATGTCATGGTTTTCCTTTCTCTGCGCACGTGTCCATTCATAGTTGCACGACATTTCATAAATATACAGTAGACGTGGCCAAATTGTGTCATAAAAACTAATTTGCAGTTTAATACGATTTGATAGATAATTGTATCAGAAGTTTGGCGAATATTTTCGCGTGATTAATTCTATGCAGCAGAATCATTTTATCGAGAGAAAGATTGCTTCAGTCTACATAAACGTAAAATTATTTTAAATAGACTTTATTAAAAGTCAGAGAATTAAAGGGCTAGATTTATTTCTTTTATTTAATGTCATAACTAATTAAGTAGAGATGCACTTAATCGAGAATCTTTTTTATATTTAAATTAAATATTTTTTCTATTATACCTGCAATTATTTAAAAGTTAAGTGTACTTCTCTGGATTTTTCAAGTCTTTCTCTTTTCATTGAATAATAAGCGCAATTGTTTTATAACCTTCAATCGATAGTGCATCTTGTTATTGGAATCGAACATAAGTGTGGTTCACGGTAAATCATTGATTGATGCACATTGTTGCAGAGTTACAGGGAAAACCATCAGCATATCTTTGATCGATAACTCGATTCTTTCTTATGTGCCACGGGCTAGGTTTCAAGGTGTTGCGCCGAGCGAAGGTCTGGAATCGATCGAGATTAAAAATTCTCTAACGGTCTACGAGTCTAATTGTATTAATAACAAACAACACTAATACAGAGGAGATGGTTTTGTAACAGAGTTCTAATGATAATACGCGCGGAATATTTTTATTTCGTTGGATTTCCTGGCTAGTTTAATAAGGTTGAAGCTAATTAGACCGCTGATCCTCGGATTGATTATTCTTCGTTAACTTATTTAATTAATCATTACGACGCGGATTCGTCATTTGCTACACCGTTGAAAAGCCTGCAGCAAATTTCCAGTTTCTTCGATATGTCGTCAAGCGTCGCATTTATCGCAGATCGAATTGTCGCTCAAGACAGGAGACAATTCAAGGTCTACGAGGGGCCCGCCTGCACGGCCGCAGGCCGCGCCGGTCCACACCCACGATCAACGGACGTGGACGTCACGTGTGTCATTCGAGAAAAAGAAGGAAAAAGGAAATACCGCGCGCACTAATTAACGAGGGTGCATGCGTACATGCGCGATAGATCGGAATTGCACACATGGACGAATGGCCAATCCTTATCGCAGGAAAATCGGTTCATTACGTAACGCGCTGATCATTAATTATTGGCGAACGCGTGTATGCAAATGGAATCGACGCGCCGTTTGCACTTTAAGCACATTTCAACATATATATAACTTATTATCGAAGCGTTCAGTATTATAAACGGTACATAACGATTGGGCGATCGATAAATTGTTCCTGATTCGCAATACATCAATCGTTATCGATTTCAAGCGTATAAAATGACAATTCTTGGTAAAAGAATACTGAAATCACGGCGAAAAAGGAGGGAAAAAAATAATAGAGACAAAAACATCTATTTTGCATCATTTTTGCACGCTATTAGCGATTGTTACGATATTTCTATAACTAATTAAAAAAGAAGAAATTAAAAAACAAGACAGAGACTTTACAATTTCATTATTTTGAATATTGCGGTATCTGGATTTTCTAATTTTAGAAATTGCCTCGACAATCGTGATTCAAATAATTTACTAAAAAATATATGTCACGTTGTATAATGGTTGCTATATAATGCGAACCTGCTCATTGTAGTCAACCCAGACCTACATTTGTGTTACGTCGCATAATGTCATAATAGATTTCACTGAATTATGATTTTCTAGTTCAATTAGCTGTTACGTGTCTTGTACGACAAATATCCTGTTTAATGTCGATTACGCTGACAAAACCGATCCGCTGATCGACGTCTCGACGGTTTTTGCGTGAATCAATCGCGAATAAATCAGGGTCTCGACGCCGCTTCAAGACAGTGACAGATGTTCGTAAACACAACCGGAATTACGTGTTGGCACCAACAATTTTTTCTAAACGGAACAGAACGATGTCTATTAAGTTAAGGAGATTGTAATTGAAAAAAAGTTTTTGATAAATATCATTGAGAAAAATAAATCCTCTTTCATATGGTTTTAAGCCAACGAAATTTTTTTACATTAAAAATAGTATCTCTGTTGCTTATCCAACAAATGTACAATCTTTTATAAATTAAAAAGTTGCGCGAAACAGAGATAATTACAATGGCATACAAAAAAGAATGTTGGTGTGATTCTTTAATAATTATCTTTCGAACATCTGGCCACAAAAGTCAATGGAATTTTTTATATTTTTTGTTGCTTTTTTGTCTTTCCATTTTTTGCATTTTTGTATGATATATCAGTATTTTTAAGCTAAAAACTAAAAATCAAAACATCAAAATAATAAATCAAAATAATAAAAAATGAAATATTAAAATAATATTATTTGAGAATATAATCGATTTACGAAATAATAAAAATTATAATGTCATTAAATAATATATTTATATTACAAAAAAATATTGATAATTTTAATACAAGTTAAAAGTAAAAGATATAATTGCAGAAGTAGCAAAGATTATAATCTTACAGTAATCGCTACTGTTCAAAATAATTAAATATTTTGCAATTCTGATTTGCATTTATTTGCATAATTTTTATGTTTTTAGTTAATAAATTATTAATAACTATTTATATTTTGTGTGACTACGTGTCAACGCTTAACAGAATCGTGAATTAATTACTAGTGACGTTAGTATTTCATTTTTCTAAAATCCAGATAAAAAAATATCATTAAAATCATAAAGTGTAACGTTATTATCTATGCGATAATCATGCTTTACATAAGACTCGGATACGATGCAAATATTACTACGATTCTACATCTGATTAATAAGAATTGTAATTTCTGATCAGATCCAGAACTGATATTATTATATATGAAAAAAGTCGATTACATGCACAAAACAAATGCACGATATTCAAAATAAGGCGAAAGCTGAAAGGGTTGTTTGTTAACTAAACGATTAATATTTTATTGCTTATTATTGTTTGAATTTACGAGCAATCACAGATTGTACAGTTTTAAACTATATATTATACATAAAACTGTTTTAAAGATTATTTAATGCAGAAACAGACTTTTAGACTTAAAATATTTTATTTTCTTGATTTTTAATCCTTAGAATGGTTAATTTTAATCAAGAATCGAAATTAATAATAATCTAATATTTTAGTTAACACTACTAAGATAATGGAATTATAGTTTTTTTAAATCGACGATTGCATTGAGAAGAATTTCTTATCGTGGTTCTATTGAAACATTTAACGTACCCTATTTTGGCAAATAGAAAATCTATTCGACTTTTACACCTGTCTGACGTCAGCGTATATTATTTGAACTAGCAATTATAGATATTAGGCAAAGATGCGTTCATTTTAAAACTTGTATTGCTATCAGTTTCTAAATAAGGAATATCCCAATTAGTTCATAAAAGAAATATACACATAATTCTTCATCTATATTACTACGCATTATTTGCGAAAATTTAAATGACAAATCAAGCGACCCTCAATTAGGCAAATGCATTCTAACTTACTGACCATTTTCTTTTCTCTGCAATTATGCAGTTACACCACAAACTATTGTTTTGTTGAGCCATTAAATCATTATTTCACTATTATCATCTGTAAATAGAAATTTTGTTTTTGTAACAATACGACAATTACACTAATGTTTCTTAGGTAATTATAATAGTGGACAATAATAGGCTGCATACCTCTAAACAAAGCACAATAAAACATTTAAATGTGAAACTCACTTTAATTTAGACTACATCTGATACATGATTTATATATAAAATAGCCATGAATAATAATATATATTTAATTTAATGATTGAATATTATATTATACAATATAAAATATATTATAAAATATTTATCTCTCGTGTTTATTCACATCAAATTTATAGTAATATTTAATGTTAATAATAACGATTTTAGACTTATATACGAATTAAAGATGAGAGATGAATATTTAACAATGTATAATATCTAATCATCAGATTGAATAACAAATCATATAAAACTTGTAATTATGCAATCATTTTGTGCTTATAATGTGTAATGCAGAAACTATAATGTAAAAAAATTTATAAAGCTAGCGCTATAGTAGATTTTCTAAAAAAATACTTAAACATTTTCTTACAAATCTTGTTAAAGAAGAAAAGTGACATATATTCACAAATTGATTTATTTACTGATATAAATATATATAATAATAATTTTTTAACGGTTAGTGCGATTACATAAATAATTTTAGTTCATAAAGCTCATAAGTATTACTGCACATTTAAAAAAATTTGTTTAAATTTATTTAAATTTTCCATATAACACAAAGAGCGATACAATTCTTTTACTTTTGAGAGTGTTTTTTCTCAAAGTAATGCATGTAATGAAAATTAGCAAAAAAGTAAAAAAATTTTAATATAGTGCACATTAATACAATACCTAAATGTGTCGCTGAAATCTGGATGTAATTTCATATGAGAATATATAATCATTTGCATATATGAAATATATTCATTGTAGGTAAATGTGTTTATTATGATTTACAACAGCACATTTTGTAAAAAATTTTCTTGAATCTAAAATTATTTTTTTTCGTACATTTTGAATGTACTTTTGTAGACGTTAAAAAATTTTCATTTTTTTTTAATTGTGGTATATTGCACATTTCTGTTTCGTCAGTAACATTCCGGCATCTAATAACAAAAATATTTGCGCACAATTTATTATAATATAAATAATAACATTAAAATAATTTTTATATTTATTTGAAAATATTGCTGGTAAATATCGCTTTTTTAAGTTACATAAACAAATTTATTCTCAATATTATTAAAATAAATTATAACATATACTGCACTAGACATAGAAATTTTAAATAAGTTAAATTCTCATACAACCTGCAATTACACATGTCTCTGGACCTGTTCCTCTGCGAGGAACTCGTCACAGTTTTTGCCATTGATGCCGTGGAGATCGATTTTGCCAATTGCTCTGTCGATTTTTCATTTACAATAGAATTCATGTTTTTATCACAATTGCATCTTGAATGTGAACAATTATTTTGGATTATAATTCTTATAACATTTTCCGAAGTTTCATTAGTTCTGCCCGAAGATTCATTTATAACTTCGCTATTATTGGGCGTAACTAAAAAAACATAATGGTTTAATCATTAATTACTTTTCTTTTGTGACAAAATATAAATAATTTTAAAATGTTAGCCAATTGTAATTATAAATAATCATTGCTTATAAAAATAAAGAGTGTGTCAAAATCGACATCATGAAAATGTTTAAATAAACTAATTTAAAAAATATTTTATTATTACATATATTTTTTAAACTCACCGATTTGTATAATTTTTTCCTCTGATTGTTGTCGACACAAATTTTGTACTAATGTACAACATATTGCTGAGCTTATTCCAACACTAAGAGCGTTTATGATTTGGAAAAGTGCCATTTTTCCATCGACATTTAAAAAATAATAGATATATTATAACAACACATATAAAATGATGGAAAATTATTAACATAAAGTACACTTTTTCCAAATCCAAGTTTTTGAAGTAGGAGGAATTCACTATCACGAAGAAAAGACATTCTAACGGCTTTATATGGCATTGGTGTCGGTCAAATACTGTTGTCTGTATTAAAATCAGACATCAACTGAACTGCCAACGCTAACGGAATTTTGTTTTGAAAATAGCACGGATAAAATCGGACAGTTAAAGGATATATAGAAATGGAATCTTGCGGAATATAAACGATCTGTCTATAAATGTGAAACGAGATTGAATGTTGATTTTATTTTCTGTTTCTTTGTTTGATGCCACACATAAATGTAATTATTGTATGTAATCATTGGATTTTATTTTAATTTTATTTTATTTATCAATAATAATATACGAAGTTACTGATTGCATTTCTGTATTTTAATTGCATCAATAATGAAAGCATTATATTGTCAAATAATGACTACATTTATATGTTTACTACGTTTACTACGTTTACGTTAAGAAATAAAAAGAAAAAGTCTTTTAAATACATTAAATTCAGTTCATAAATACATTAAATTTTTATATCAATTATCATGATATTGACTACGTTTACATGTCGCCCTTAATCGGGTTTAATAACATGCGTAGTTATGAAACTGGCCAATCACAGCTATTTCTCTGAAAAATGGAATGACTGTGATTGGCCAATTTCATAACTACGGATGTTACTAAACCCGATTAAGGATGACATGTAAACGTAGTCAACATCATGATAATTGATATGAAAATTTAATGTATTATGAACTGAATTTAATGTACATATAATGGAAAGGCTCATATGATAACTAACAAATATATCATGTGTTGTGATGTACTAACTACAGATAACTAACTACAATATAATAGAGGAGCATTAAGAGCCGTCGCAGGATGTTAGTGCAAAATTTTTAATTTTTCTTAAAGAAATTAATTAATTAGTCTACATGAGACAGTTAAATTGTACACCCATCTCAGATCGAGATACTTAAAGTGTACGAAAAGTTAAGTACATTGTTCTCACATATGGAGAATCATAATCTACTAATAGGAATTATTGGAAAGAAAGGAAGAGAGAAAAAATATCAGGGCGCGAGTGGCTAAGCCGAGAATTGAACCCGGGTCTTCCGCTTGCCGGGCGAATGTTCTGATCACTAAATTACTTATTGTCAGACTCCACGCTCCTAACATTCATTTCTCACTAGATTAGGAAATGAATAATTTTGTAGAACGTAAACGCGTCATATTACCCGCGTGATTTAAAATACATATAATGGAAAGGCTCATATGATAACTAACAAATACAATATAATAGAGGAGCATTAAGAGCCGTCGCAGGATATTAGTGCGAAATTTTTAATTAATAATAGTGCGCTATTTAGTGCGAAAATTTTAATTAATATTTTTTCTCTCTCTTTCCAATAATTCCTATCAGTACATTATGATTCTCCATATGTGAGAACAATGTACTTAACTTTTCGTACACTTTAAGTATCTTGATCTGAGATCGGTGTACAATTTAACTGTCT